TCAGACCCTTTTCTGATGAAGGGTCTAGGCCCGAAACGTCAGCCTCTCTGCTCCTATGATGCTGCTTGGCCTGCTGTGTTCATCCAGCCCTGCACCTTGTTGTCAGGAATTCAAGAGAATTGGTTTTACACAGAGTGGTGTAAGAATATGGAATCCACTTTCTGTTCTCTGCTTGTCAAACCTATACCACCACCTCTTCAATAGGGCAAGGAAATAAGTCTCAAATCTGTCCCTGTGGAATGTAGAATTAAACCTCATGCTTCTGACACCAATCTGATCCATATTGGCTATGCAGCCAATTGCTTCCCCAAAAGCAGTCAGAGTAAGTACTGTGGCAATATGCATTATTACATGCTCTTGTAGCCTGAAGCTATGGATAATAATGGGAGAGGCTGCATTTTTTGGCTATGAAGTCCTGGAGTGTGGCTCAGAGATAGGGATGCTACCCATTGCACAACAAGACCTCCTCTGCAACCAATAATACAAGGAGTAATTGAAATGACTAGCATGGATCGATTTAAGTGGAAGCTATTTAATAATTTAAGGGAGAGAGGAATAGAATGATATATGGATGGGGTTAGATGAAGAATGATGGGAGTATAGATTAGATACATTGGCATAGATCAGTTGGGCTGACTAGTCTGTTTTGGTTTTGTAGACAATTCTCACATAAATAATTTTGGTGGGAAGGAGTGATTACTGTGATGTTGAGATACTCAGATGCATCCACAGGAGTTGCTTCTCAAAAATAGGCTATAAGAGAAGTCAACATGGATTGTATGTAATATTCGCTCAATCTTAGAACCTAAGATCATAAGATGTAGGAACAGAAGTAGGGCATTCAGCTTATTGAGTCTGAACCATTCAATGAGATCACAGCTGATTGGCAAATCAATCTGTAAGAAGAGATAAAGAGATTTATTCATGTTTATAAGTATATTTTTAAGTATAGCTCTAAATCCTTTTAGTTTTATTTCTCTCTAATGCTCCTAGAGCTTCTCAGACCACACTTATTCCCATTGCCCATCAACCTTTTTCTTTCTATTCATTTGTGGGATGTGGGCGTTGCTGGCTGGGCCAGCATTTCTCCACCTTCTCCACCTCACCCTTGAGAAGGTGGAGGTGAGCTGCCTTCTTGAACTGCTGCAGTCCTCCTGCTGTGGGTTGACTCACAATGCTATTAGGGAGGGAATTCCAGGATTTTGACCCAGCGATGGTGAATGAACTGCAATATATTTCCAAGTCAGGATGGTGAGTGGCTTGGAGGGAAACTTGAAGGTGGTGTTGTTCCCATATGTCTGTTGCCCTTGTCCTTCTAGATAGAAGTGGAGATGGGTTTGGAAGGTGCTGTCTGAGGATCTTTGGTGAATTTCTGCAGTGCATCTTGTAGATAGTACACACTGCTGCTACTGAGCGTCGGTGGTGGAGGGAGTGGATGCTTGTGGATCTCCTGACGCTGTGGATGAATTAGGATACAATTAGATGAAACTTGTGATAACACAAATTGCACAAAATTTATGGGGGGATTACATTTTGTTGATCTATATTTTGTTATGGTATATTTTAACACTTTCAGAGTTTGATGATCTTTACAACTTTTATCCACCCTCACGTGTGAAGAGGTGCTTGAACGATAGGTGATAGCTCCTTATAGTGGTACATTTCTTGACCAGGAAGTTAGCGGAGTGGAAGATGTCACACTGGCTGCGTGTACCTAAACATCATTTTATCGCATTGCCCATAGCTGGTCGCACATTGATTTATGCCAGACTTTTAGAGTCCTGAAAAGAGAAATATTCATGTACACAATATACTGATGCCAATATAAATATAACATAAAATCATGGATGATTCAGCACAAAAGGAGACAATTCAGCCTACTTTGCCAATGTTAGCTCTTTGAAATTATTCTCCTATTAATTTAATTCCCAGTTTTTTTCTCCGTGACCTTGGAAGGTTTGGCTTAAAGTATATCCTTTGTATATCTGCTGATATAACCCACTTTATGTATCTTACTTATTTTTACATTGTATATTTCTATATTGTATTCCATTCAATGCATTCCCAGTTGTAACACCTTTTTTCCTTGCATCACCTCTCTTTTTATCAATTATCTGCCACTCTGTCAAAACCTTCGTAATTTTAAGTAACTTCACCAGATTTCCCTTAACCTTTTATGCTGTAGTACTAAACCCAGTTTCTCTGGTCGATACAGTGTGGAGCTGGAGGAACACAGCAAGTCAGGCAGCATCAGAGGACCAGAGAGTCGACATTTCGGGCCTTTTTAGGCCAGAAACATTGACTTTCCTACTCCTCTGATGCTGCCTGACCTGCTGTGTTCCTCCAGCTCCACACTGTATCAACTCTGACTCCAGCATCTGTAGTTCTTGCTATCTCCCAGTTTCTCTGGTCTCTACCTATAACTGAAGTTTTTCATAATGAAGAAAGAAGGACTTGCATTTATATCAATGTTTTTCATGATCACTAGATGTCGAAACCTCTTTATAGCCAATGTAGTACTTTTAAAGTGTAGCGAGTGTTGTAAGAGTAAATTTCCCCCCTCCTGCCTAAGACCTCGAGACCTTGACATTGTTCTTCAAGTGTTCCAGAAATGCAACAGAGTAAATAAATCCAGTAATGTTTTCTAGAGTTTAGGCATGAAATCCTTGCTTTCATATTGTGGTCCTCAAAGATTCCATTTGCCTTTTTAGCTGTCACCTGGGAAGATAACTTTGCATACACCACCAGTTTCTCTGTTCCTTCAAAATAGTATGATTGGGTTTATATGAGGGATCTCCTCATTTTTCCTATCAAAATACATCACTTTTAGCGCTTTCCTGTATTAAATTTCATCAGCTGTGTGTTTGCCAATGTTACCAGCCTACCCACGTCCATTACTGTTTTCCACTACATTTCTGATTTTGTGACCTCTGCAATTCTGAAGTTATGCTCAAATCCATCTCATGAATATATATTAAATAGAATAGTGTTCCCAACACTGACCACCTAGGGGACACATTCCTCCCATTTAACAACAGTTGCTTACACGGCTCTGCTTTTGGTCCTTTAATCAGTTATCTATCCATGTTACCACTGCTTCTTTAATCCCAGGAATTTCAGTTTCCTATTTAAACGATATTAACTGCATTGCTGTTGTCAATCCTATAAATCATTTCATAAACAACTCAAACAAGTCAATCAAACACAACTTTCCTTTAACATATCGATGCTGGTTTTCATTAATATCAACTAATTTTATTCCAGATTATTGTTTCTAAAAGTCTCTATCACTGATGTTAGGCTGATTGGCCTGGAATTGTTGATTTAACCTCATTATTTTCTTTTTGGACAGGGGTGTGACATTTGCATTCTACAGTACCCCTGCCAAATTCAATAAGAACTGTGGCCAAAGCCTCAGGAATTTACATTCCTGCTTTCTTTAAGCAATGTAGAATGGACTTGGTGGTTTTTCTATATTCATACGTACATTTAAGTGTACACATTTTAAATACTTTCCCTATTTTATTCAATTAAATTTCTCTACAGCTTTCTCCACTACTATGACATTGTAGTAATTACTTATTTAGTCAAGATGGATACAAAGTGCTGCTTTAGTACCTCAACCCTAGGTCCTCTTCCACAAGATGTTCTCCATTTTTGGTTTTTAATCCATTGTATCCTTCCAGTGATGACCATTTTTCTAATTATCTGTTGATAAAAGAATTTCAAGTTATCTTCTATGTATTCTAATGCACATGCCATGTAGTTTATAATGATATGTATCATATAATGCATTTGACTGAAGAAAATACAGAAGAGGCTATGGCAGGAGCACGTGCAGAAGAATTTCATGACCATTGCAATAGCATCTCCATTTTATGGTGATCTTGTCAAACATATGTGTTGATAAGATGGAAATAATAACGCAAGGCAAACTACTTAAATTGTTCTGCAGTTAGTTAAAAATGTACAATTGTCAAAGGCCGGTAAGTGGTTTATGGCTACCCTGAAAAATTGTTTAATGGTTTTTGTGGCCATTATTTGTGCTGTCATCTTAGATGAAAGGTGACTACACAATAGAAAAAAAGACTCTAATTCCACTTACATATGAAAGCCATGTATCTAGTTCCTATCGGAATATCAATCAGAGGTTCCAGATGGTCAACCTGAACCAGTAGCTGGATATGGCCACATATTGGTAATACAGAAATGAAGAAAGAAAAATATGTCCAAACTGTCTGTCCCTTTCAAATAAGTGATAAGCCAGTTTGTTGATAATGTCTTTATGCATCAACTTTTTTTTTTAAGATGACACTGCTTCTTTGGGGAAAGACAACGGATTTCAGCTGGGTACAGAAGTTAAAGGTAAGTGGTGGAAAACCTATACATGATTAAAAACATTCACTGCCTGCTGTGAAGTAATAATTTTTAGTTAACAACAAAGAGTAGGGCAAGAATCTGGGAAGACTGGCACAGAAACAGATCTGCACTGCCTTTAAACCAGGCTAAAGTGATCTCACCGAATACATTGCAATGCATTTTTAGTAAGTTGATCAGAACTCGTCCTCTGATTAGAATTGGATTCTATTGGTTGTGGCCTTCACCCAAATGGAGTGGTCAAAGCTAAGTTCAGCATGTGTTAGTGCCTTAAATGCAAGACCACTTTTGCTAATTTTGAGGTCGGTTTTCTGTGCTGTTAATTTTTTTTTACATTTTGCTGGCATTTTAGAAAAATATGTTCCTCCACATTTAGTGTCATTGTTTGTCTCCGAATAATGAAGGAACTTAAAATAGTAACAAAAATAGAAAATGATGGAGAAACTTAGCAGGTTTCGCAGCATCTGTGGGGAGAAAGCACTGTAAACATTTCGGGTGCTGTGATCCTTCAGCAGAACTTTGAACTATGAATGTTGCTCCAATGAAGGATCATGCACCCAAAATGATGACTCTACTTTCTCTCCACATACGTTAAAAGACTTGCCGAGTTTCTCCAGCAATTTCTGTTTTTGTTTCAAATTTCCAGCATCTGCAGCTCTTGTTTTTATGTAAAATAGTAGCATTGTCTGTTAATTCAACATAAGCCTTCTATTAATCCTCAGTGGAACATGAAATGCTGAAGAAATATAACACTTGAAAATAGAGCACATACAACTCAAACTTCACCTATCAAGGAGGAAGAAACATGTTAAGTCTGGGGATTTGTTAAAATCTCCAGCTTAAGTTAAAGAGGGGATTTGTTTACAAGCACTATAAGTACATTGTTTTACAGTAGTTTTGGTGATAGAATGCAATAGTAGTGAAACAGTAGAGTCAGACTATTCCCATTTGATATAATGTTACCAACTGCAGTTGTAACCTTGGCACACCTGCATGGCAGTGAGCATGGGCAATAGGTTGTGCTCAGTTGAAGTCAGTCTCAGATCATTTGGAGATTGCAGGTGTCATTACAGATACTAATTTAAACATGCATTCATGAAAGGTGGAATTTTCAGCCCATCAATTGGCTTTGAGACAGAGGTTGGTGCTGGTAGGCTGATAAAACGTGACAGTTGGCCTTCCCATTACCTCCCTGTCTCAATTGTATAGGGCCAGTGGAGGCACTGGGCAGCTCAACTATATGCCCAACTAACAGTAGGTAATCCAGCAGCTTTTACTGGATGGCTGGTGTCCTCCTTTCAGTGTTCATTATGCCCAGCAAAGGCACCCACCACAAGGTCATCATCCCTCACTCCCTCCCCCACCCCACTTTAACTCTCAACTCCCCGCCTCTCAAACGTGGCCACCCACCCTCCTCATCTCCCTTATTGGGACCTGCCCACTGAGGGGCCTCTCTGCATCTCAGAACTCTGCAACCTCTCACTATATAGACAATATGTTTTGTTTTATCATTTCTGTCATAATGGACAGTATTACACTTCCCACATTGCCCAATCACTCAACCTATCTATATCCCCTTTTAGGCACCCTGTGTTCTTTTCACATCTCTCTTTACTATCTATTTTGTGTCATCAGCAAGTTTGCCTTCGGTCCTTTCATCTAAATCATTTTATATAAATTGTAAAGAGTTGAGGCCCCAACAGTGACTGCTGTGGCACACCACTTGTGACATCCTGCCAGCCTGAAAAGACCTATTTATTTCTCCTTTCTGCTTCCTGCTAGGTAGCCAATCTTTTTTCTGTGCCAATATGTCATCCTGATCACTATAAACTTTCATGTAATTTTTGACATGGCACCTCATCAAGTGCCTTCTGGAAATCTAAATACAATGCAAACAGAAGTTACTATTTCAAAGAACTCCAATAGATTAGTTAAACATGATTTGTCTTTGACGAAACCATGTTAGCCCTACCTGTTTTCCTGGAATTTCGCTAAGTGTCCTGTTATAATGTCTTTAGAAATAGAATCTAACATTTCCCCCATGACAGATGTTAAGTTTACTGGCTTAAGGCTTCCTGCTTTTTGCCTCCCTGCCTTTTTGAATAAAGGCGTTACATTAGCTATTTTCCAATCTAAAGACATCTTTGCAAATCTAATGACATTGTTTAGCAGTTCACAAACAATGAATCATTTTAATATTGTTCTAGGTAATCCACCACTACTTTCATACATCAAAGTTCCACTAATAGCAAAAATATTAATAGTGTTATCCTGGTTTCTGCACTCTGAACTAAAATTTGTAACACAGTAACAATTTTTTTAATTGCTAAAAAATGGAGAGAAGTCACTTATTGATAACACTTATAATGCTCCAAATGCCTGTAAGAGTGCTACCAGAAGCCTGGACCAATTTGAAATGCCTGAACATGAGGTTAATAAATGCCCCAGATCAATCAGTTAAAGAAACAAAATGGGACAGTAAGCACATATGAAAATTTTGTCGAATTCTTTTGATTGAGGCCAAAAAAGCTACAGATAACAAGCAGGAGAATGCTCATAGATATTCAAACCAATCATCCAAATCAACGATGATAAGTTTAAAGCAGCCAATTTGTGCCAAATATGTAAAACAAATGAAATGAGTGTACATAACCCCGATGCTTATTATTGTACTTTTAAGATGCCAGTGATCAAAGAGAAGATATTTACACCGGGAACTACCAACCGTGTTCTGAAAATATCTGCATGCATGGCAAATGTGAATATATTTATGCTCGCCGAGAGACATCCTGTCTGTAAGTGTCTGATTCTCCTTCTTATTGTAATAATAAGGTTCTCACTAATGTGCTTTTGAAGTTCATATTATTCTTTATTCTTGGAAAGATTCTAGATAAAAATTGCATTGATCCAGGCATAGGTTACAAAAGCAAGGAAGTTAGGATGATCCTTTATAAACTCTGCTTTGGTCATAATTGGAATATTTAATGGGCTAAATTTTCAATAGCAAATGAGTAACTCAAGTTGGCAAATGTCCTAACTTCATAAACCTTCCTAAGTATGAAGTATCCTCTTCCACATCATTTTCTTTTGATAGAAGTGGTTGGGGGATAGAATTGGGACCACACAAGCAGATCGGTAGTGACTGAGTGCTGAAAGACAAACAGAATGAGTCTTGTCTGAGGACCCAAACTCTTGTGAAAGGATTATGTGTGAGTTTGTTTAGACAGGGTTCAGAGATGAATTGACTTTACTTGATTGCATCACCATGAGGTTATACTATGTTATTTTTTTCTGTGATTTTGTCACTATCTCAATTTCAAGTGCATAAAACTTCTGTTATTGAACTTATTTTTTAAAATTATAAATGGATGATTTTTACTAAGCTGTTTATCACATTCCATTGTTACTATTAGGTTCTTTATTTCTGTACATCATGTATACTGAGTGGGCATCAAAGGGCCATAGGTTAATGTGAGTGCTATAGCGGGCATGAGTTAACATCGAGTTGGCATGGAGGGGCCATAGAAGCTGTCTTTCAGAAAGTTTCTGAATCCAAACAATGATTCTTGACTTCTCTGAAGGGCTGTCACCCAAAGTTTATGGAAATGTTGGACCATTTTCAGAAAATTGAAAGTGGCTTGTCGATGTCTATCTCTACAGTGGAGATAGCCAGGTCTAGGTTACACCAGCAGGAATTGGGGTGTCACAATGGGGATGCCACTCCAAGACTTGGAGACTTCTATCACTTTTAATGACTCCAGAGCCCTACCAATTACAAAGTAATCTGGCTCATTATCTCCGATGGTGGACATTACACTTCATGAAAGATAGCTTTTAAAAGATTCATGAAAATAGTTCAAAGGTTGGGGTTTTTAGTTACTTGGATAAACTGGAGAATCTGGAGTTTTTCTCCTTCTGATGAGAACAAAGGACTTGGGAGCAGGAGTAGGCCATTTAGCCCTTTGGCCATGCTGTACCATTCAAAGTGATGATTGGCTGGGCTGGTTGTGACCAACCTCACACTCCTGTCGTTCCCCCATGCCCACACTGTGCATACCATTATTACAGCTGTTCACAATCATGAAAAATATATAAAGAATAGAGACTGATCCTATTGGCAAATGGCTCAATAACCAGAGGACAAAGATTTAGGTGACTGACAAAAGAACAAAAGGCCACATAAGGGAAAACCTTTTTATAGCACATTGGTAGAATCTAGAATGCCGTACCTGAAAGTGGGCTGGAGGTAAATTTTAATTCTGCCTTTCAAAAGGGAATTAAGATGAATATCTGAATGGGGAAGGTCTACAGAGCTACGCAAAACATAGGAATGTAGGAATAGGTAAACCATTCAGCCCCTAAAGCTTGTTCCACCATTTAATAAGATCATGGATAATCTGTGGCCGAACTCCAAATATCTGTCTTGGGCCATATCTATTACTACCTCTACTTAACAAGAAAATTATCTATCTCAGATTTGTTGTAGAAAGTTCCACACTTCTACCACCCTTTGTGTGTAGAAGTACTTCCTAACATTTCTCCAGAACGGTCTTGCCCGAATTCTCAGACTAAGTAGGGAAGTGGGACTAATTGCTTTGCAGAGAGTCGCAATGGCCTCCTGTGCTGTAACCATTCTATGATTCCATAAATGTAACAAATAATAATCTTAGCAGTAAAGCATTTCCTCTATTGTGTTAGACACTCAAGTCTTAAGTCTAATTTGTAATATTTAGATTCACCCGCAACTCCATTTATTGGAAACAATCCCTGTACTTTAACCTGATTAAATTTACCAGTATCATGTGATAATGTGTGAAACAATAATTTACTCACAAGAGTAATCGGTAGCAGTGGAATTCACAGTTAGTTGAATGTGATATCCTCTACAAAATTAGCATTAAGTGGGTTTGAGCTGTGCAGATGGAATGCTAAAAGCAATCTTTGTTCAAATGGTAAAGATCTTTTGCTCTGATAAATTCAGTCTGTATGCACAGCATTTTAAATGCTTCCTTAAGGAAAGATATGCTATTTTACATTCGTACAAACTCCTAAAAGAAATTCTTTATTGTTTCGTGGGATGTGGGCATCTCTGGCAAGGCCCTTGAACTGAATGGTTTGCTAGGCCATTTCAGAAGGCTGTGATCTGGAATCTCCAGGTAAGAATGGCAGACTTCATTCTTCATGAAGGAGATTAGTGAACCAGATTTATTTTTTGAAAAGCAATCAATGATAGTTGTCATGAAACTATCTTTCAATTCCAGACATATTCATTGAATTTAAGTTCTACCACCTGCCATGGTACGATTTGGTTCACGAGTCCAATGATATTACTGTCACACTACCATCCCTCTACCACTGCATTTATTCACATTGTGCTCATGGTTATACATGTGACCTGTGTAGTGCAACAGTATTCCAAGATCATAATTACTTGAAAGCTACAGAGTTAGACCCAAAACAATGGCTCAACACTGAAGGAAGCTGTGGAGAGTTTTCAGTTCAGTGGCCAGTGCTTTTCAGTTGGTGCATGAAACTCAGGTTATAGAAAGATCTCACTGCCTCTGCTAGCAATACATCAGGATAATTTATTCTGTATTATTCAATCCAATTGTGCATTTGCTGTTGAAAGAAGGCATTAGTATAAAGAGGGACATTCAGTTGTTTGGTCCTTGTTTAAAAATGATGTTACTAATAACATACTTTTTCGACTTAATTTAGCTTCTTTCTGTGGCAATTCCCAAGGATGTTTGTGTCAAGACTGGATTATTTTTCTGTATCTAGTCCCCTGTTATAGTTCTTGCAGAGATTTAGATTTTACCTCATTGAACAGATATATCTATGAACAACACAAGTCAACAATTGTTAAGCTCTTACGGACATGAAAACATCATCACCACATTTCAGAAATAATCTTCTAGAAAGTTTACCAATAGGGTCTAAAGCCTGGTTTTATCCAAGAAGGTTGAACATGTAATCACGAGGAGAGAAGTACACTCTTGTTGCTTCATTACATCGAATCATACAGTACAGCCCATCGAGTGTGTACTTCCAAAACTGTGCTAAATCTATACCAATCCAACTTTCTAGCCCTAGACCCACTGCCTTGAATACTATGACATTTCAAGTGCTAATCCAAGTACATTTTAAAGGTTGTGAGGTTACTTCCCTCAACAAACCTCCCAGGCAGTGCATTCCAGACCCTCACCACCATCTGGGAGAAAAGTTTGCCTGAAATTCCCTCTAACCCTCCTGCCTTGCACTTTAAAATTATGCCCCTTGTTATTGACCCTTCAACTAAGGGGAATGGCTGTTTTCTAATCATCCTGCCCATGTCCCGCATAATCTTATATACCTCAATCAGGTAAACCACTCAGCCTCTCTGCTCTAAAGAAAACAACCTGACCTTGTGCAGGCTTCACAACTTAATTGCTCCGTTGTAGGAAACATCCTGGTGAATACCCTCTGCACTCCTTCCTGTGCAATCACGTCCTTCCTTTAGTGTGGTGACCAGAATTGCACACAGTACTCCAGCTGTGGCCTAACCAAAGTTCAAGTACTGTGCTGCTCCAACATGATCTCCCTCCTTTTATAATCTGTGCATTGATTGATAAAGGCAAGCAACCTGTATGCTATTTTAGCAATCCTATCAACCTGTTCTGCCACCTTCAGGGATTTGTGGACAAACACCCTTAGTTACCTCTGTCCCTCTAAGCTTCCTGATGTCCTACTATTCATTGAGTACTCCCGTGTTTTGTTATTCTTTCAACATGCATTCAAATTTCTGATAGTGTTGCATAGTCTTGTATCAATGCTGTGAGAAAGACAATATGGCATGCTATCCAATGTTCTTCAATGATATCAATGGAGAGTGCTGCAGAGGTAGTGAGATGCAGTATTGACTGCCACCACTGATTCATTCTAAGTGCATTCCTGGGAGAGGGATAGAGCTTGGGGCTAGGAACTAGCATTTGGAGCAGGAGCTGAAAATAATAACTTCACATTTCCTATTTTCAACTGCCTCTCAGGCAAGCAGTCTGAAAATGTCATAACAATGGAAGAGTTGAATAAGATGTTATCATTGCATATGTGAAAACTTACACTGTTTCCAGATGATATTGCTGGAGGGCAACACATGAGTGAGAAATAAGAAGGGCAAGAATGGATACATAGGTGTCACCAGAGATAACATTGTAGCAGTAGGAACAGAAGCTATAATAAGGGATACTTTAGCTATGATTAAACCAGTAAGAAAGGAACTGGGTGAAAGTAGTTCCATTCAGTGAGAACACAGTGGGGAGAGTTGGAGGAGATGATGTGATCAACCGTATCAAGGGCTGCAGTCAGGTTGAGAAAGGCAAAGTGGGCTTGTATCTATACACACACACACGCATGCATATACATACACAGACATGCACATATACATACATACACACAAACAACATACATTCATACATACATACACACGCATACATAATACACACACATACACGCACGCATGTACATACACACACATATACATATACGCACACATAGAAAGACACACACAGAGATGTACCTGTACAGTCAAAATAAATAGTCACTTCACTGACTTCATTGCTTTGTCATCTACTGCCATTACCTTAGTCTCAAGGACCATCTGAATTGAAATCCTAACATAATATTTGGACAAATTAATAGGATCATGTTATATATACTAAGTGCAAATGATTATGTGAGAGCAAAACAGTAAAGACAACAGAAATCAGCAGCATATGGAAAAATCAATGAAATCTGAGCATTCCATTAAAGGCTACGT